TTCATCCATATCTTCCTTCTTTGAAACCTTCATTACTTTTGTCTTCTTTTCATTTATTTTCATATGGAATTTCTCCAATCCAGTTTTGAACAGTCGATTCAGAATTTTCTGTAATCCCTCTTTACTTTCACTCAGCAGGACTATGTCGTCAGCGTATCTTATGTTGTTTATTAAGCATCCATTGATTTTCACTCCTTCGTTAAAATCCTCAAGTGCTTCTCGCATCATCCACTCACTGTAAATATTAAATAACAGTGGCGAAAGTCCGCATCACTGTCTCACTCCTTTTTCCACCCTTATCCAGTTGAATTCTTCCTCATCAATTTTTATTATTGCTTTCTGATTTTTGTATAAAAAAGAGAATGATTTTAATTATCCTTTTATCTATTCCAATTTTTTGAAGTATTTCAAATAAAATTGTGTGATTAACATTGTCAAATGCCTTTTCATAGTCCACAAAGCACAGATAAAGATCTCTGTTTTTTTCAATCATTTTTTCTCCAATAAGTCTAATTAATGTAATGGCCTCTCTAGTTCCTTTGTTCTTTCTAAAACCAAATTGTGTATCAATTTTTAATCAAGAGATTAAAAATCTTGTTTTATAAGCTTTAAACATGAATAATAATAATAATAATGCTAATGATGCAGTAAAATAATAATGTTACACATAAAAGAAACAAAACTAAACTAAAATTCCAAACGTTCAAACCTACATTGACTAGCTCCAGTACCTAGCATCTTATCCATTTGGCTATTTGCCACTCAGGGACTTAAAACTTCAGACTCATAAGGCAAACACTCAATCTTCAGTGGCCCATTTTTTGGAAATGCTTTAGAAGTGGGTCCTATTATTTGTGTTTGTGTTTAAGGCTACATGCTCATCAAGTAGCATTAAAATCAGAGAATCTAACATATGGCCCTCTTGTTATAAGAGGCAGCTTAACATGTTACTTTTGCTTTCCAGATGTCAAACTGATAAGGCTATCAGCCTCTGCATTAATTAGTAAGTAAAACTAATGGAAATAAATAATATAAAGTGGTGAACAAAAGTTAAAACTGGCAAAATGGTTGGCAATATTTTAAGATTTTTCAGAGTGACCCCTGAATATATTTAATTTTATGACATTAAACAATATTTTTATTTTAACAACAACAAAGAAATTATATATTATACCTGTTTAGCTCTTGCACGTGCAACATAATATGGTTGTGCTTTCTCTATTGAAGTACCAATTTTCTTAGCATAACAGGTAATTTTATGAGTAGAATCATTCAGTAAGATTCGGAAATTAGTTCGTTCTTCCTAAATAAATATAAAAACAGTAAAGATCAAATTGAATGATATTATTATATTAAACTTATATATACTGTATATATCTCAATACATAATATAGTAACTTTGATTCAATGATTTGACTTATAACAAAACGTTAATTAAATATATTTCAATTTTTAAAAACTCATCAAATAACTCTACATTACAATAAATATAACAAAATACATTTACAGAAAATCAGCAATTTCTTACCAACATATGAACAAAAACTCATATACTGGTAAGAAAGCACAAGCAATTTCAGTTTAGTTTAAAACAGTGTTTCCCAGATCACCAGAGTAGAATGCCACCTCTCTGGGGCATCAGGGGTAATCTTTCTTGGATATGTTGAGACCATCCCTCACAGTCACCTCCATTGTATGGGTCTGGCTGAACCAATGATAGGTATGGAAAAAAGATCTCTTAATGTCAGGTTCTCAGAATGTAAAGAATTAAAAAAAATTAACTAAATATAACTAACAGATGTGTAGAATTCTAGTTATGGAATTGTCAATATTTGTAAAAATACTGATTCCTTTTCTTTACATACTTTATATTAGGCTTCTAACAGGAGCATTAACCTTCTGTCTTGCATTATAGGAGCACCTGTAGTGCAATATCTTATTTTATGATAATTCCCCTACTTCATAATCTTCCTTTGCATCATTAATTACTGTTGATTTTCATTTCAGAAATTTATCAATTTGTATCAATATATGGTTGATGATGATGATAGTGATAATAAAATAGAAAAAAGTGCTTTCAGTTTTTATAGAAATACCTGATGATTCACTTAGTGACAAAATGGCTTTCTGGGTTAATATAATCAAAGTATATTTTAAATTATCTAGGAGTTAGAATCAGATTTTCTAAAATTATATGAGCTGGAATTGGGAACTTAGTCTATTGACTCCACAGACCTGTATTATCAATAAAAATTCTCTTGCTACCTAACAACACTAATCCTTTAAAATAAAAGTTTTTGCAGCAGCCTATTTCTTCAATTATAATAAAAACTCAAAAAATTTTTTCTCAATCATTTTCTATTCTTAAGTTTGATGTTTATGAATTAATAAATGTACCATACTTGTAATATAAATCATTAATTTTTCTAAACTAAAATAAACTTTAGAAAGTATTCAAAGAAATTGGGAATCATATAGGAATCAAAAGAAATTTTGGTATCATCCCATCACTAATAAAATTCTACAGATTTTTCATTAGATTAAAATATAAGGAATACAATTACTTTTATTTTTAGATAAGCATTATTGGAAAATGCAAATTATTTAAAATAGACTTAAAATGCAGAAAAACTTTTTGATGGTAAAACTAAGAAACTAAATACTATTTTGGTTTTTAATTCCATCCAATTTACTCAGAATAAAATTAAAATTTTTTTTTTTTACTAATATCACTAGGCTTTGTCGTCTCTGACTAGTTTTAGGTCAAATCTAACAAGACTGTACACGTGTGCTGTTAATAATCAAGGCTTAAAGGCCATATATCATCATCATCCAATGACAATAAATGTACCCGAACAATTTACTTTCAAAGCCATTGTGCTTTAAATAGAAACTTAATTAACTATAAAAAACCAAAAATAATTTTTACACAATAATAAATTTTAAATTTTAAAATTTCGAATACCTCAGAACGTAAGCCATATTCATATGGTAGATAGATTAAAGGGATGGGAGAAATGGCCCTCTGAAATAGGGGTTGAGTGTCGGGTTTACACCTCTACCTTGTAAAAATTTCTTGTAACAACACAACCAAGAAACTCACTGGACGGCTCTAAAAGGGATACTGACCATACGAATGGAAAGAATAATGAGATGGAATGTGATATGATTTTTATGAATGGAAAACAGAAGCAAAAAGAATGGTGGGAAGAAAAAGGCAAAGAAAAATGTCATAGTAATAGATACTTGGAATGTTAGAAGTTTATTCCAGGCTGGCCAATTTCAAAATCTTCAGAGAGAGCTAGAATGATATAACATAACAATTGCTGCTATTCAGGAAATATATTGGAAAGACAGTGCTATATTAGAGGGTGATAAATATTTGACATTTTATAGTGGTTGTGAAAGTGGCCAGTTGGGAACTGGATTTATGATTAAAAGGGAATTGCAATATTCTATTTTAAATTATCAATTCATTAATGAAAGGACAACCACCATACATATAAATGAAAGATTTTTTTAACATCACAATGATTAGTGTTCATGTACCAACGAAGGAGAAGAGTGAAGAGATAAAAGATGAATTTTATTGTCAGTTAGAGGAAGTTCTAGAGATAGTACCAAAATATGATGTTAAACTAATACTTGGGGATTGAAGTGCTAAAATTGGAAGAGAAGAAGTGTATCAAGAAGTCATTGATACACTTCTTCTCTTCCAATCCCAAGGAAGAGAAGAAAAGGTTTCAACCAAAATAGCATTCATGAAAATAGTAATGACAACAGAAAACAAGTAGTAGATCTAGCTTCAGGACATAATATGGTGGTTACTACAACAATGTTTCCTCATAAAAGAATACATTTAGGTACATGGACTTCACCAGGTGGTGATACTGTAAAACAAATTGACCATATACTTATTGATACAAGACATGCTACTGATATTATAGATGCAAGATCTTATCGAGGGGCAGACTGTAGCACAGACCACTACTTAGTGAGGGCAAACTATAGACAAAAAATATCAATCAAACTTAGAAGTGGAAGGGCAAATAGTGCTATAAGATATGAAGTTGAATCTCTAAAGCAGAATGAAATCAAAATTAAATATCAGCGGGTGCTTGAACAAAACCAGACAAAGACAAAAGAGAAGAGACAGAGATCAAGAAACATCGAAGGAAGGTGGGAAGATATAAGATCAAGTGGTACAACAGCAGCAGAAGTACTTGGTAAAAGTAGAAAGAGAAGGAAAAACAATTGGTTTGATTCAGATTGTAAAATGCATTAGAGGAAAGAAGAAATGCGAGAATAAAGATGATCCAAAACAAATCTGAAAACAATATCAAAGACTTCAAAGAGAAGAGAAAACTGGCATCTAAATTGTGCAGGAAGAAAAAGCGGAAATGGATAAAAAGAGGGAATGGATAAATGCAAAGTTAAAAGAAGTGGAGGAAAATAGAAGAACCAATAAAATGAGAACATTTTATATGGATATTAAGGAAGAGAAGAAAAGGTTTCAACCAAAAATTTGTTTCTATAGAGGGAAAGAAAGAGAGCTCATTAGTGAGAAAAGTAAAATTCTGGATCGATGGGATTTTGAAGAACTACTAAATGAATGAATAGGATCAATTGAGGGTCAAATGGACACACTAATAGAAGATGAGGACACAGAAGTTGATTCTGATGAAGGAGGAGAAGAAAGTGCAAATGGGGGATGTGAATATCCAAGACTAACAGAATTGAGATGGGCAATAATAACTTTAAAGAACAACAAGGTTCCTGGAGAGGATGGAATAGTGTCAAAAATGATAAAAGCAGGAGGTGTGAAATTGGAACTGGAGTTAGACAAACTTGTTAGGAAAATCTGGAAAAAAGAACAGATGCCACAAAGATGGAACAGAGGAATAATTTGCCCAATTCACAAAAAAGGAGATAAATTAGATTGTAGTAACTACAGAGGAATAACTTTATTTAATGTAGTTTATAAAATTTTTTCAAAAATAATAGCAAAAAGGTTGGCAGTATATATGGAAAACACAATGGGAGATTTTCAATGCAGTTTTAGAAAAAACAGATCAATTATAGATCAGATTTCTACACTAAGACTGATTCTAGAGAAATGCTATGAATATAATATTGAGATACACCAACTTTTTATCGACTACAAAAAAGCTTATGATAGTATAAGAAGAGAGAAAGTTTGGGAGAGTCTTCAAAAATTGGGAATCCCTCAAAAACTTATAAATCTCACAAAGTTAACTTTAGGAAAGACTGAGGGTATGGTTAAGATCCAGGGATATATTTCAAGAACATTTGCAATAAAGAAAGGGCTTAAGCAGAGATGCACTTTCTACAGTTTTATTTAACTTGGTAGTAGAAGTGGTAATAAGAAAAGTATATGAAGAAATGGATGTGGATGCAGGTGGAATGGTTTTCAATAAACATTTACAGTGCTTAGCATTTGTCGATGATATTGTTATATTGGGAAGATCTAAAGAAGTAATTGAGGAGACATTTAAAATAGTGGATGATGCAGCTATAGATAAAGGCTTAGCAGTAGGGTTTGCGTCCCGGGACGTCTTGTGTCTCAAAGTCCCGGGACTTTTTCTAAATTTAATTGTCTCGACATGCTTATCGAAATTGTATTTTCGAAATTTTATTTTCAAAAGATTAGCCGAGCGACGCTTCTTTTGTTCTCCCTCCTGTTTACAAATAAACAACGCAGGTGGGGGTAATTTACAAGGCCGTGTGACTTTTAACCTTACTCTGTTAAATGTTTGTTAAAATATTTGCACACTGGCCACCACAGCTCACAGTCGCAAAATACGGATTGTTTTACTTCGAATTTGAATAAAACTGCACTTATTGCTTTTGCGGAAGATCTGCATTACAGACTTTTTGAAAATATCCCTCGTATCCAAACGCCAGATTTGGAAATAATGGACGCCGAACCCAGTACCAGTAGCTCTACAGTACACAACGAACCTGATGAGTCGTTTCAAAGTCAAATGGAACAGGCAATCAAAAGAAATCGAAGAAAATGTACCCGAAATTTTTGCAAAAAGATCACGAGCAGCATTAAAAAAAGGAGTTCCAATTATTTGAAGAAACCAGAAAACGTACTGAAAGTTTGGAACTACTTTATAAAGCTTTAAACACAATAAAACTGACATCTGTTGAAAACGAGAGTGTGTTCTCCTTGTCCGGAGGCATTATTACAACAATCAGAAACAGATTGTCGGACAAACTGTAAATGCTCTGATGTTTTTAAATGCCTATTTTATTAAATCAGAAAAGATGTCTAATTACTAGTTCATTATATTATTTATATGACTAATGAATAGATACTAGATGGCAACTATTAATGATTAGTATGATTACTAAGTTGGTTTTATAATTTTAAGATTTTACTGCCAAAAAATAAATCTATGATTATAAGAATTAAACATACAAACTGTTTAGACTTTAATTAACGTTATAAATGTTAGGATTTGATTTTATGTTCAATAAATGTTGATTTTTACTAAAATTGCCTTTTTATTAACACATCTCGCCAAAAATGAACTTGATTCTAATTTTATTCCGAGAAGTCTCGAAGTCCCGGGATGTCCCGGGATTTTGATCATGGGTTGTCTCGTGTCCTGGGACTTTGAGAATGTTCAGACTTCCCAAACCCTACTTAGCAGTTAACGATGAAAAAACAAAATATATGAAGTTAACAAGGAAAGAATGCCAGTGATCAAGGGGACAAATTCTGCATATAAAGGACCATAAATTTGAAAAAGTGAATAAATTTCAATACTTAGGAACACAGTTAATGGAAAAAAATGAAATTGATGAGGAAATAAAGGCAAGAATGACAGCAGGAAATAAAAGCTATTATGTTAAGAAAGAATTATAACATCTAAAGAAATATCAAGATGCAGTAAGATTAGACTATATAAAACTATTATAAGACCTGTAATCATGTATGGTTCCGAAACTTGGACACTGACAAGAAAACATGAAGAACAGTTGAGAAGATTTGAAAGGAAAATTCTGAGAATATATAGACCAGTGCAGGATAGAGGAGAGTGGAGTATTAGAAGTAGTAAAGAACTCAAAGATTTATATGAAAATCCTGATATTGTAACAGAAATTAAAAGAGGGAGATTTTGTTGAAATGGACATTTAGAACGGATGGAACCTGAGAGAAAAGTGTATCAGGTGTACAGAGAAAGGCCATAGGGAAGAAGATCGAGAGGGAGATCAAGAAAGAGATGGGAAGAGGATGTGGAGGATGATTTGAGAAAGATGGGTGTGAGTTGTTGGAAAGGGAAAGCCCAAGATAGAGAGGAATGAGTGAAAATCCTGGATGAAGCCAAGATCCTTCAGGGACTATGAGTGCCGAGAGAGAGAGAGAAATTTAAATTATATCAATTAAATACTTACATCCAATTCAATTTCTAGTTTGTTAATTAATTCAGTAGCTGCATTTAATTTTTCAAGTTCTATCTGTAAAACAATAAAAATACATTAACACTTTCATTAAATTGTAATCCTACACAGTTAATACAAAATTAATAAATCACTGTTAAAAATTCTTTTAAATTTTTAAGTAAATCTTATAAAGAAGAAAACATGATAGTGAATCCAGCAGTATATCAAAATATTTTATTACATTATAATAATAGTAATTTCAATTCAGCTTTAGGTCTATAAATCTATATAATGTTAAAAAAATATAAATAAAAGCACTTTTGCCTTTATTACTAAAGCTTCATCAGTTAGAACAAGGGTCACCAAACTAGGCCCAGAGGTCAGTTCACCCAGCCTGCTGCTGTACCATGCCACAAATGAGCTAAAATACAGGGTGTTTCAAAAAGAATCGGCTGATTTTAAAAAATCCTAACTATTCAGCTTTTAATCCATTTTGATTGAACAATGTATTGTTAGAAAGAAGAAATTCTCAAGTTTTACACAGTTGCCCTTTTTCTTCTTAGAGAACACTGTTATGGGAATCACATATCTCAATATGCTTGAAAACTGGCTTTTCCCACAGTTAAAAACCAATTCAGATGACTTCATTTTCCAGCAGGACAGGGCACCACCACACTGGAGCCTGAAAGTTTGAGAATTTTTGAATACACAGATTCCCCAACAATGGATCGGCCATATGGAACCTAATGATTCAGCTTTACATAACTGGCCTTCTAGGTTGCCAGACCTCACTATTTGTGATTATTTATTGTGGACCGTTTATGTGCTTCCTCTTCCAGCTATAGTGGTACAACTGCAAAACCGCATAACAGCAGCAGTGGCAGCAGTGGATCCAGACATGCTTCACAAAAGTTTAGGATGAATTTCATTACTGTTTGGATATATGCCATACACCCAAAGAGGACATACTGAGCACCTATGATTTAGTATGTAAAAAACTTGAAGATTAGCCATATAATATAAAATTAATCTTAAGTGTGTATCTTCATTAGCTTTCATAATATAATCATTTTAAATCGGATGATTCTTTTTGAAACACCTTTTATAATTATTATGAGGAAGAAAATACTGTGCACATTCTCTTCAACTGTCCTCTTTACAGAGTGCAAAGGAAAACCCTAGCAGACATTGTATACAGTGCAGGACTCATTGGCCTTGCAAGCTCAATGAACTGACTAGTTACAAAAACACTCTCAACGCTCTTAGGGACTTTGCAAAGAACATTAAAATATTGGATTAGGCTCCATCACTCTCCTTATCAACTCTAAGTGGTGGTGGTGTTTTGCTTCTTGCACAATTGTTTGGTGTTTGTGTGTCTACTGTTTAAATCTGTTCTCCCATGTTATCTGCAACGTTGTTAACTTCTGTTTTGTACTGTATTTGTATACTGTTTATATCCATCTACTAATATTCATACCTGTTCTAAATATCGCATAATAATCTCTTGTATATGTCTAAGTTTACCTCTGTATGTACTTTTCTGTATTTTAATTCATAATTATGTAATCACTATACTTTATTTTTTGGTGTATTCTATTACCTGCCACGAATCTTATGTTTAACATCAGTTATCAATATGTATCTATGTATTTTGTATTCAGCATTTTGTATTTTGTAACTTGTTCTATTTTAATAAATTCCCTGGGCAGCACACAACCTGAAAATGTTGAAGAGTACGGAGAAGTCTTACTCTTCAACATTTTCACCCTCTTGGCCCCTGCCACAAATATTTCTCTCATTCTTTCCCTCAATATTTTCCTTTCATCCCCTTTTAAAGGCTACATCTACAAATATGGCCTTCTTCCCTTTCTTATTGTATTGTATAATTATTTATATGGAAATATCATAGATTGTAGATAAACTTACTATGTAGAAAAAATTAAAATAAGTGTAAGTAAAAATGCCAAAATTGGTCCAATCTGGTTTTTGCATCTGACAGTAATATGATATTTAAGAAAATCTATGAAATAAAAAATTTGGCGACTTTTTGCCACTTTGGATATTGAAGCACTTTTTGTGTAAGTACGTGCAATGAAGTTTCTAAGAAAAGCAATTACAAGCTTACTGCAGCCATCGTGTTTGTGTATTAGTAAATAATAATATCTTTATTATTTGTGTATTCAGTTTACTGTATTGAACAAAACGATGTGTGGCCTGCACTTGTCATTCTCTCAGTTATGTTGCCCACTGTGAAAAAAGTTTGGTGACCCGAGTTAGAATATGGAAAAAAAAAACAACAGGAAAAAATATAATTTACATTTAACTTTACAATCACTTACAAGAATATGACAAATTATTAAACTAAATTTAATTGATCTTTTGATAACATATTTTTCCCATAATATATGGAAGAAAGAGCTGGGTGATGAATAAAATCTCTAGGAAAAGAATATCAGTATTTGGAAGATGCTGTTATAGAAAGATTTTTAAAATAGTATTGATAAAAACAATTCTAAATACCAGTAATTATATAACAGGATTCACCTAAAGGTGAATTCATTCCAAAAAATTATCAAATTTAAAAATTTATTTAATAATAATTGTTTGATAAATCTGCAGAATAAACTATGAAATAAAACAATGTTTAACATAGTGGATAGCATAATTAAATGAGTATACCACAGAGGATAGCTGGATGACATTAATGATTTATATTGAAACAGTCTACAGAGATTCAGCCTTACTGCTTTGTATAGAGACAGATGGAGAATAATTGAGGCATATAGTTTCAAAAACAGCCTATTTCACTTTTCTAACTCTGATAACTGAATGCAGCTGATTTTGAAACTAACCTCCAATTTCCCTCCCCTTTTTATTCCTCCTTTCTGATTTATGACTAGTTTAAGAATTTATGACTCGTCATTGAAAAGAGCAGAAAAATACATATCAATTGTTTAGCTAATTTTAACTTTCCTGCTTTGTTATATATAACAGAAGGAAGTATGGCAATTGGTACTTGAGAAACAACTAATGAGCTAATGGGGTACATCAACAAAAAAGTTGAGAACCACTGTTATAATATAATCGAGATGGGTTGATAATGATAATAATAGTAATAATAATAAGTGCAAGCCCAAACGGTTAGGAGTTGAAAGTTGAAAATTGGTACACAGTTAGGATATGTCAAGAGAATGTACACTAAGAAGGAATTTCTCAAAGTTCCCCCCACGGGAAAAAGGGAGAGAATTAAAGCTTATCCTAAAGAACTCGGCTTCTATTGTTCTATTTTAGATGTGGTTTTTTTTTGCATTTTTGACTGTGTTTTAGTAAGGTATGTCATGAGAATGCACATTAAGAAGGAATTCCACCCCCCTGAGGGAAGAGGAAGATAGTTTTAGTCAGTATAAAGTGTAAATAATAAAGAAGGAAAGTAAATAGTGACACACATAGTATACATTTTGGCAATTAATAAATATTTTAATCATTTCCACTTTTCAGGTAACTCAAAAAAAATATATATATCTAAAATAAACTAATTCAAATGAACATTTGAATTCATTCCAAATTCGAAATATTGAATTCAAGATATAATGTTTCACACAAGTTTTTTAGATTTTAAAATTTAAAATTAATCATTATATTAAGAAAGGTAGTCAGTCATCAAGTAAGTTAATTCTCCATTATAATGAAAAATTTTCTGATATTTTTTTTAATTTTATAGGTTATTTCATTTTTTATTTTTTAGGTTACTTAAATAATAAATTTTTTTAAATACTAAGAATTTATTCAAATAAAATTCAATAATGATTTTAATCATTTTTTTTTCTATTAGATATCCAATAAATAGAATAGTGAAAATGAAATTTCTCATAAATTTGACCCTAATCTTAAAATATAATCAAGATAGATTAATAATAATAACATTAAGTGCAGAGTCCAAACAGTTAGGAGTTGAAAGTTAAAATTTAGTACACAGTTAGGGTACATCATGAAAATGTAGACAAAGAACAGGCTTTCCAAAATTCCCTGCGAGGGAGAGGAAGAGGGTAAAGGATTACCCTGATTTTGGATTTTACTGTACTATTTTAGATGCGGTTTTTTTGCGGGAAATCAAATATGTTTTTAGACCCATCTAAAAATTCTCTAATTAGTCTCAGAAGAGGGTGAACCTAATTCTTGCACCCAGTAAAAATAGGTAAAATCATCTATAAACTAATTATCTTAAATTTTGCTATTGTTACTTTTTGCCCAAGCAACGTCCAGCTCATCTGCTAGTATAATATATTTATGTTAGAAATAATCTAAATAAAATAAAACACACTGAACTTCATTTTATTGTGAACCTAGTAATCCAAATTCAAAAAACATAATCAAAATACTCAAATAAATTTTATAACACTCTCTAGTATTATTATGCCTATCTACCAAAATATCAGTAGTTTTCTCATTCCTTTGTAAATGTAAACATGAAAATAGCATAAATAAGATTACATTTACATTTACAATGGAAGATACAAAAACTAAAAAATAAACCCATTTAAACATCAGTATTTTTACAGTATACAATAAAACTCCATTTGTCATAAACTACAAAAACAACCACTGATACCTTTAAACATAGGGCAAATTTTAATTTTTCTAACATTTTCGATGGTTTTAAATGCTCTTCCTCAGGATAAAACTGATTACAATTTAAAAATAAGAAATTTTCATTTTGAATAGTATTCAAATATTAAAATTTCCACTACATTTAAAGGTATTGTTAGTTGATTTTGTAGTTCAGTATTTTTTTTTGATCAAATGCTTTTACTTCATTTGTGTGATTTAATCAAATCAAATAAACTTGCAAAATGCAGTAAAAATATAGAATATAATGGAGAAAAATTACAAGATATAGAGTTATTTTCTAATTTTCGAAATAAAGATGAAACTTCTCAAAAATTCTCTAAAAATGTAATCAAATTTATAAACAAAAGATTTTTAGATAACAAATATGCCAAATCATGATGTGCAGCATGGAATTTTACATTTAAGCAATAACTTATTTAATATTAAATCATTCTTATTAGGCAGTGCATATTAACATTTTTAAGTTTTAAATCATTTAACTTAAATATTTAAAAAAATTGTTTTCCTTCTTCATTTTATTGCATTTTACAATTTAATCAGATACTGATTTCCAACAATATTGAAAACATCTATCCAAAATAATACTGGAAAAGACATTTTTTTGGTATTGGTTTCTTAGAAATGATCAAGTTCTAAACTAATGAGAATAGAAACTAAAGTGGTCAGTGTTTCCCAGTTTTCTAAATACAGGTATAATCAGATGAAACTTACACTGAAAAAATTAATTATTGCTCTTGTATATATGTATAAGATTCATATTAACTTTGTATTTATGTAATAGATGTTCTGTAATGTTTTCTGTATATGATTATTAACAACAAATTGCAATAATTTGCCTGAAATAAGCTAGTCATACCCACATATTTCATATTAAACAGTTAATCAAAGAATCACAAACAAATGACAACTATCAAATCATATTCTCTGACAAAATATAATGTATTTTAAAATTTGAAACTAACCTGAATTCTGGGATCAACCAATTCATCTTCAGAGGACATCATTTATTTCTCTTTAAATTAAATTAATGCAAGTCAAGTTTTAAATCATGTTGTTTTCATTACTTTCACCTAAATATCTTCATTTTTATTATCTAAACTTAAGAATTTGGTTTTCTATAATTAAAAATTCTTAATTATTATTCTTAAGGCGAAGGACGAACCCAAAAAATGTTTCAAGGACTGATAATAGCATCTTGTTATTATTTTAATTGAATGACGTTGTGTAGCTTGGCAGACGTCTGTGTTCTGTTTATTAACAGTAGTGCCATCTCGTTTGCGTAATTGAAACTATTTTCTTCAGTTTTTTTTTTTTTTTTTTTTTTAATAGTAGAAAAATGGCATTTAAGTTTTTAAAAGGAATTACTCAAAATACAAGAACATTTCAATTTGTATTTTACAAAAGTAAATAATTTATATGCAGAATAATCCATTTAATAGAATTATTTGGGACTCACCTCTCTTGTATCGGGGTTAATATGGAGATTAATGCATAGTCGCTTATCTTCCGAAGAGCTCCGAAAAGCCGGCCAAAGCTTTTTTGCTTGACCTTACGAAATTATTCGCGAATAACAGGGGGAAATGCCTTCCGGGAGATCTTTTAAGGGTAAGTGGCTCCTATTTAGGCGTTAGAAACGCTGAGAAAACCCGGAAAACTCAATGTGACTAGCCCGTTCTGGCGAGGCGCGAACCGACTACCAAACTGCCAGTGTTCAGGAATGGAGCCCCTTGGCCACTGGTGGGCCCGTCGGTTTACACCCGCCTGGTTTTCTTCACGTTAGTTACACCTAAATAGGGGCCAATTTCCCATAGAAAATCCTCTCGGAAGGCATCCCACTAAACAGATTGCCTATATGTCACGTTATCATGTACAAATAAACCAATCACTCCAAAAATTTCTGGGGTTTCCAGAACCGTAATATGCCGTAATTTTAACCGCTCGGGCATTTGGCCGTCAGATTCATTCAGTATTATTTGCTTGCTACTAACTTTAATTAATTAAAGAAAGTATTCTACGCTTTCTACAGAAATATATAATGTGTAGAAATTTGTGTATGATGTACCTGTACAGTACATCATACGTTTCCTTTAACAATAGAGTCATCTGTCTAACACCTTTCGGCGGAAAAGTTTTGAATTGATGTAAAGTGACATTCGGAAGTTGTTATATAGTTAATCGGGCCTCCTGCCCTTAAGGTTTCCATATCTTGTCTCTGATTTCATCTGCCTAACTCTTTTCTAAAGACGGAGGACATAGCCAAATATTGTAGCGCCACACAGTGCCGGCCAGAGGCAAGTTTTAGGATGGAGCGAGATCCTACCGTGTTTCCCCGAAAATAAGACATCCGCAGAAAATAAGACCTAGCACATATTTTGATGAATTGCGAAATATAAGACCTCCCCTGAAAGTAAGACCTAGCGAAGTTATTTTTAGTCGTAACGGTCATCGACAGATGGTTGAAAGTGGCGGTTGGCTTTTTGAAACTACAGTCACTGATTGGCCAGCAGACAATTACGCCACACGGCATGATTTGCATAAGACTATGGCTTGGTAATCACAGATTTGCATAACGTTACGGCTGGTGATGGCTAATTGGTCGGCCGGAAATCACGCCAACATTACATTTGCATAGTGCTACGGTTCAGTAATCGCTAATTGGTCATCGAGTCCGATGTTGACGCTATGAAAAGGTGACAGTTCGACACACCGGATATACGTCACTCTTGTCTAAGTTCGACTTGGAAATGTTTTTGTTCAATAATAAATATGAATTTTTCTTCCTGGAAAAAATAAGACATTCCCTGAAAATAAGACCTAGCGCATTTTTCAGAGCAAAAATTAATATAAGACACTGTCTTATTTTCGGGGAAACACGGTA